TTTAAATTTTATTAATTACACTTAGTTCTTCAAAGGTAAGCTACGTGTTCTTTACAGAGATTCGAGAGTAGAGTGTTCAGACGTGGTGTAGAGTGTAGTATATGTAATGTAGTGTATAGAACGTAGTAATTGTAAATTGACACATCTTGTGTTAGTTTCATATTATAATCCAGTGTTATAAAAATAGCTATTTGGTTGTGTTGATGTACTTTCTTGTAACATGATAATTTGTGGAAATTGAAATAACACAGTGGGTCTAATTGGCTGAAGGCTTTCGAGTCTGTCCTATTTTAGAGTCTCCTCTGAATAACATCTCACTTATCATGCCAGTAAGTGGTGTTTTAGACCATCGCTTCGCCAAGAGCAGCCATTCCAACCTATAAACTTCCCCCACTCCATGATGTTCAAAGTAATATGTTGATTTGAATAATTTAAAAAAAGTTGGCGAGTTATTTTAGGACAGGTGGTAATTGTAGAAATTATATCTAGGAAAACTACGAATACAGATAACGATACGTTTTTAAAACAAATTTGAATAATAATAATAATCATTTGTAGACCGATAAAATAACTTGCAGGATATGTACCTATCAAATAAAGATAAGGATACATTTATTTCTGTGTTTAAGAAAATGTGACTATTTGAAGAAGTATGAGGGAGTCTACATGTATTCTTAATCTCGGTCTACGGTATCTCCGAAGAATGTGTCTCCCGGTAGGCTAAGTGGTTTGGCCTGGATCTGCCTATGTGTTTTTTTAAATTTTTCCGAACGAAGATTTCTCACCTCTCCGAAGAATGGTATATGCTCTCACACCCATGTCTCTCTCCTTGGTCTGATTATCCTAAAACGAAGAAGGGGCAGACCTAGAAGGAGATGGGAGGATAATATTAAGATGGATCTTAGGGAGGTGGGCTGTGAGAATGGTAAATGAAAAGAGTTGGCTTAGGATCGTGTCCGGTGGCGGGCTTTAGTGTTGTCGGTGTTGAACCTGCGGTTTCTCCTACCAGGGACTTAGTTATTTTATATTTATCGCTCACATCACATTAGTGTTTGGTAACGCGCACAGTGTACCGAACTGTGGAGCGCAGGCCATGTGAGGCACGGATCTGTGGTCTGACACTGAGTGATGTTTTTAGTGAATATGGCTGGAAGGGGTGTACATACAAAGCAGCAGAGCGATGTAACAATGGCTCCGAAACAATGGTCTGAGAAGTCCTCATTACAGGAGGGAATGTGCGAGGAGTATGTGCAAGACAGATCTAAGGTGATGGCTCTTAACATTTATAGTAGAAGTGTACGATTGCCATCAGTAATCCTGCGTTAGTAGCATGCACAGGAGATTCACAAAACTTTAGTTGAAAAACCTGAATGAAAGAGAACACTTAGGAGACCTAGACGTAAATGGGGGAATAATAATAGAATGGATCTGTGATAAAAAGATGTGAGACTGTGTGACTCAGGGTACTTTCCATAGGCAGTTTATTCCATACCTTCGGTTTAGATAAAAGACGAATTTCTTGGCTAGATGAATAACTATTAGCTTCTTAGGAAAATCTACTCTGTGGAGTTAGTCGCAAGCCTTGTTATAAGTGATGTGGATCCGAGGCGATTTAGCCCTCGCTAAAAATGCTTATATCCTACGCTTCAGCTGTAGGATATAATCGTGGACTGGCACATGTCGGCGTCTGAATTAAACTGAATACGTCATGCACCAACTACCCAACAGAAGTGTCCAAAACTGAGCGTTGTCGTTCAGTATAGAAATGCTATATAGTCCGCTTTTGTACTACGTGATTCTGCAGAGGTTGCGGGAACAGAATGGGACCAGCTTTGTGCAAGAAACAGGTAGCAGTCATGGGGATAAAAACGGTGATCCCCAGCAACAGAACAGAACCACCCCTCGCATGTTCATCCATATTGACAATCTAAAAAAAAAAACAGAATAAAGAATATGAAAGCTAAGGAATCACGCATCAACAGACTTTGTGTGAGACTTGTATAGGGGATACTGAATAGACGTAGTCTAGCTTACAGTGTCCCTACCAGTAGTAAATACTCTAATTAAAAAAAAATTAATACACTGTTTTAATTAGTTCACTAATAGAGCATTTGTCAACAGATATAACACACGTTCTTTCTTAACAAAAAAGACCAGAGAATGTTTGATCAGGGCCCTGATGACGGAGGCAGTATGACCTCTGAAACGTTGGTTAACATCGACCAGACTACACAGCGCAACAACCCAGAAGACAGAAATCTTCATACTCTGATGACGGAGGCAGTATGACCTCTGAAACGTTG